CCTAGTGACGTAAATTGAACATCCTAACATAGCTGAGGAATCAACATAATTATTGAAGAACATACATAAAGATCATAAACAAATGCCAACAGTATAGACTTGCAAGAAGCCAAACTGTTGAAGACACTCAACTTACCAAAAAGTTCATAATTTAATCTCCCAAATTCGCAAAGCATAAAACACACAAACTACCGTTCAATGAATAGTACAGAATCACAAAATCTCTTATGTATACATCAAATTTCATAATCTCACCATATAAACCAACATTCACCTCAAACACTCATAAAATTCTCAACATCCCACACATCAAAATTCAAAATCCATCACACAAACCAACATAAACATCATAAAAAATTCACATCAATCCCTCAAAACTGTCAAAATTTACAAAAATTTTACACCAACGAAATCTTATAGAGTCATATCTTACGAGACCACCCTACCTAGTGATCCAAGCCGAAGAACCCACATTTGGGCCCTCATAATATGGACCCGCTATGGACCACTGCGATGCAGTCAAATGAGTTGGGTTGATGCTTGGAAATTTACAAAAACAGATACACTATGGACCACTACGAAGCAAAAAAAACAAGACATTAAAGAAGCAACCAAAGCATTTCAAACTCTTTTCATTTGATTTGAGGTTCAAATCAATTATTGCAGGAAATTTTACCCTCTCTAAAGTGAAACAAAACCACCCTCTCAATAGGCTAGTATTAGTGAGTATAAAGAAGGCGAGGAACTTACCAAAAAACTGCAATTGGAGTGCTGTTGGGAGCAAACAGATGAAAACAAAGTCCCGATATTGCTACGGCAGAGATGGTGGATGAACGACAAATGCAAAAGGCAGAAGTTAGGGTTATGAACCCAAACCAAACAACGCACGAAACAAACAATGGAAAGATGGCAAGGGACTTACCGGAAAATGGCGATTGGACTGATGTCGGGATGAACTAGATTGAGAAGAAGAAGACTTTAGCGACTTTGATAGAGGTTTAGGGTAGAAGGAATTCGAAATGTTGTGTTAGGGTTGAGAATTTTTTTTTTCCTTATATATTATAGTTTTATTGAAATCCAAGGGCATATTGGTCACAATATGCAAATATGTAAGGATAATATGGGTACACCAATATTTCGTGGCATTTCTAAATATAATGACAATAACCAGGGCAATTTCGTCCGAAAAATTTAAAAACTAAGGACAAATCTGTCTGTTTGTGCGAATTGGCTATTTTATAATTATTAACAAAGCAAAGGCTATTTTCGTCCGCATTGTCCACTGTTTTGGGGTAAGATTGGACAGAATTTTGGATTACCAGCCGGAGGAAAGTTTTAATAATAGATCTCCCCCCAGGTAATATTATTATCACCAACTTACCCCCGAATTGGCACTGTTTGACATCTTTTTTTTCTGGGAATGTTTTTTTACAAAACAACCAAACATGGTCATCTAATCAATTTAACATATATTACCCCCGTTATATAATATCACACCCATCCAAACACCCCTATTGGTATTGAAAGATTATCGGAATCTTATATTACTTGACAACCAAGCGTGGTAATCAAGTAATATAAGATGACATTACCTCAATAATCTCCTATTATCCTTAACCAAACACAGCCTCCCTAAGAGTCAATCATGGAGATTATATATACAACAAAGGAGTAATTTTGGGGTCTGGTGAGTCCAATGTCATAAGGGTAGTTGATTGTCTTAAGTCTAAAGTAAACAGTTCAGGGTATTGCATTGGACTAGGGAAATATAAGTGAACTGACTTGAGTGTCAGAAGGTTATCGGTAGTACACCATTCATTGGTCCCTTGGACTTCGTTGTTGCTTTGTAGGTCAAATTCTGCATTGAACGAGCTGAGATCAATTCCGCATAATCTAGGGAGGGAAAAGATCATTTATTTGGCTGACCAAAAAATGAGCATCAATACTCTATATCTCACTTTCTCTCATTTATGCCACGAATTATATTTTCTCCAGTCTTTATCTCTTTTTTCTTCAACATCCTATATAAAAACTTGAGTTACAAATTATTTGTCATCCATTGAATTATTTTGCTCATTTCGTTTTTTTCCTTAGTTGAATCGAAAAACCGTGAAATATTTATAGCTTTTCGAACTCTAGTCATGTGTCATCATCATCTCCCAACATTAGTCTCTCATAGCAATTTATTGCACCTCCATAATCTACCAAAAACCATAACGTCATAGTATTGAGGCAAAAATCTGTATTGGGCCCTAGACTAGCCTAATAGCAAAAGGCTCTATGCCAAGGCCCAACTACGGTTGGCCCAATAACAAAAGGACTACTTCAATGTCCACCATATGGCCCAGTGCCACAGCCTAACTCTAGTTTGGCCCATATCAAAACCTATCCAGTGGGAAGACCATCCAGCAAGATGGTTCATTTTGTAAGAAGGACCACTCTATGGGCCTGCCCATTCTATGAGCTAGTCCACACCACAAGTCAGCCTACTCCACAATTGGGCTACTCTATGAGTTGGATAACGGCATGATATAAGTCACCCTACAAATTGGGCCAACCTACATTTTAGGCCACTCCACATGTTGGACCTTTCTATAGTTTAAGCTACCTCAGGCTCCGGCCCACCAACCTACATTCATTCCACAACAAGACTATAAGTCTCATATATATCCTAATTCGTCCAAGACTCTTATTCTTACATGAACTAGTACTCCGAGTCCTAGTACTACAAGTTTCGTATTTACTCAAACTCCTACTCTAAGAACATCTAGTTTTACAAAGACTCAACCCTATTAAGCCTTCTATAAAAGTAGAGGTTAAGCTAGCCTCTCATTCTTCATTCAATCACTATCCCTCTCTCTAGCTTACTAGGTTCATTCTCCCAAGAACCACCGCATTTTCCCACTATAGAGCCTAGTTCCGACTACTCTACTCCCATAATCGTTGTAGAGCCGTGTTCTAACCACTCTCTGCCACTAAATCGCGCTCTAGCAAAGATTCTCGATAAACCCTATCCCGCTTTTAGCCAACGTCGGGTGCCTACGATCGACGCCACGTCAGTGTCCCCCAAGTCTTTCGTGTTCACTCTTATTTGTCATTGTAGGTCTACAAGATTGTCAATAGCCTCATCCTCACAGGATTATCCTTGTTCGACTCAACCATAGATTTAACAGTTTACACTAAGAAATATCAATCTTGATATAGCCTATGTCAGGCTGCTTAGCCATTTTATTGTAAAAAAATTATTTTTTCAACATATTTTAGTACTTCTCATGATTTCAATTTTATTTTTGGCTTCGAGATCTCTCGTAATTTACTTATTTGATCATTTTCAAACCTTGTCCTCTCACAAACTCATTGTACATTCGACTCACATACCTAATTAAAACATTGTTTCGAACTTCTTTGATTGATAATAGGTCACAAGTTGGATTACCATTCACTTAGAACTAGTGGTTGAGTAAAAAAAAAAAAAAAAAACACAATATTCATGTCAAGTCACTCTTGTAGCAAGCCGCAATTGGTCACTTGCAGTAGAATTTATATTTTTTGCATTTTTCAGTACTATAATTTTCAAATATTAATAAAACCAAAAGATCGCCAACAATGCTTTTGACAGAGGAATCAAATTGTAATATCTTTTTAAGTAGTGACTATAAGCATTACATCCAATACATTTTTGTCCCTAAAGTAAATATTTGTTGATGTTTATTGAGAGGTTAGTATTAGAGAGAATTGTTGTTTTTAGAGAGAAATGAGAAAAAATGTTTAGCTTTTATACGTACGTGCATTCTTTTCCTTAAAATAATAAGATGGCTATATAGTGCAAAATTTAAAAAAAAAAAAAAAATAACCATTATTTTTAAGGCTATTTAATATAATTATTAAATAATTAATTATCAATTAATTTTTTAATTCTAAATAATATTTTTAACAATTTTATTTTCCTACAATTTAATTATATTTATACCGAAACAACTTTTATTTATCACCTACAATCACTTCTAAAATCTCATTACTTTCGTACATTTGCTTTGTATGTATGTGTATTCAAATTAGTTTTGAATTATGTTGCCTCTAAAAAAAATTGTTTTTATTTGATTGTATATTAAATATATATTAATACTTATTATATCATTTAAGTGCATAATTATAATTCTTTTTATTAAAATTTTCTTTTTATTAATATCGTTTAGTAACTATACCAAAAAAATATGTTCTCTTTTACAAGCATGGACTAGAATCAATAAAATTGAAAATAAATTATATAAATTTATTTAATTATTTCTAAATAATAAAAAGTAATTTTGAATATTAAGGAACAAATATTTTTCCGCCCTAATAACAGCTTCTTGATCCCCTGCTGCGCGGCTACAAACCTTTTTCCTTACAGCATCTATCAATGTTGACCCACGTTTCAAATATATCGCGTGGCAACTTTCATAGTCACCTATGACTTTACGAGAATAATACCTGATTATTTCTTTTTAACGGCGTGACGGTTATAAAAACCGCGAAAGCCCCTAGCATTTGAACTCTCTCTGTTCTTGAAATTTTCTGTCACATAATTTTCTGAAATGTTCCCGGAGAAACTCTCATTTTAGTCCCAGAAAGAAACTTTTCCACAGGTATTCAAGTCCTTTCCGTACCCTTTTCATGGTGTCTTTATTATTTCTTTCTATGTTTTCTGTTTGGTTGCCGAGAAACTAAAAGAAAAGGAAACAAGAAAAATAAAATGACTAGAATCTTGGAAACATAGTTCTCGCCCTTCTGGTTTACAATGTTTATACTGTCCAATTCTTTCTTTTCTTTTTTCATTTGTGATCAATATGTTCTCATTGCTGGTGTTAAATCTTGTGTTGCATTGTATTGTATAAAAGATTGTTTTTTTTTTTTTTTTTTCTTGAGCACATCTTTAAATAATCATCAATTTTATATTTTAATAATGGATTAACACAAATTATGCAACAGAAAAGGGCTGCAGTTTAAGGTTTTTGGGGATGGTAATAGAAGAAAAAAATCCTTGGCCTAAAGGGAGAAATCGTAGCAATGGACGAATCGCCAAAGAAAAAGAAAAGGCATATAACTTCTGCTTGGATCATGTAAAATGGACAAACGAAATTGCATACTGTCCTGAATACCGTCCAACAAAGGAGGAGTTAATGGATCCACTAATTTATCTGCAAAAGATTGCTCCTGATGCTTCGAAATATGGTATGTTTGACGACATTAATAAAGGTGTTTTTTATTTTTGTACCATTGATGACATGTTATGATGATGTTTTTTGGTGATGATTCTTCAGGAATCTGCAAAATTATATCACCTTGGGAGGTTTCTGTTCCTGCTGCTCATGTACTGACTAAGGAGATCAAGGACTTTAAATTCGAAGCTTTAGTTCAAAATCTTCAGGTTGATACGAAGGGGGCGGTCTACAAAGAGGACAGGTAAATTAGGAGTCATTCCTCTTCTTTTTGCTTACTTTTCAGTAATTTGACATCAATCATCATTATGGTTACTTGTCAGGAAATATACCTATGGTACCTTTGAGCATAAGGCAAATGAGGAGTTTCTTCGTCGATTTCCTCGTGCGGGTGGCCGTCCTCTATCATACACGGAAAAGAGATTTTGGCTTCAAATGGCTCATGATACAGAAACAGTTGAGTATGCAGTCAATGTTGAAGGCAGCGCCTTTTCCTCTAATCCTAACGATGAGCTTGCAACAAGCAACTGCAATTTGAAGGTTTTAGTAATCCTGATGCTGTTTGTATTTACTTAAGCTGAATCATCATTCATTTTCCATCATTAATTTCTTGTGATTTCTTCTTTTTTTTTTTTTTTTTTTTTTTTTAATCTCAGAATCTGAAGAAGCTCCCAGAAAGTGTTTTTCGTCACCTCAATAGAACTGTTCCGGTATGATGACTGATGTTTGATCCTCAGTTCTTTGTGTCTTACTATACTCTTTGACAGTTTTCCTAAATAATTTTGGTTTTAATTCAGGGAATAACGGATCCGATGCTTTACATCGGTATGATATACAGTATCTTTGCTTGGCATGTGGAAGATCAATACTTATATAGGTACCATGACTCTCTTTTGTCTTCCAATCTTTTTCTCTTTACTTTTCCAATATTAACATCTTCTTCTCCTATTCTCAGCATCAATTATCTTCACTCTGGAGAGCCGAAAACTTGGTATGGTGTTCCTAGTCACGAGGCTCTTCAGTTTGAGAAGGTAGCTATGTATCATGTGTTCGCTAGTGAGAACTTTTCCCCCACTTGGGAGGACGGAGTCTTCCGGAGGATTGCAGAAAAAACGACAATGTTTCCTCCGAATATTTTGCAGCAACATAGTGTACCTGTTTACAAGGCTCTGCAGATGCCTGGGGAATTTGTTGTTACCTTTCCTAGAGCATATCATGGAGGATTCAATAATGGTAAAGATATCTCACATTCCTCTCCTTTGTGTTATTTTTGTGCCTTTCTCTATGCTTGCACTACGTTTCTAACTTCTTCCCATTGTACAATTGCAGGTTTTAACTGCAGCGAGGCAGTAAACTTTGCACTTAAAGATTGGTTTCCATTTGGGAAAGATGCTGGCAATCGTTATGCACGTCTCCGCAAGCAGTTGTTTGTTCCTTATGAAGAACTTCTCGTTAAAGAAGCAATGTTGCTGACTGAGTATACGAGAGAGTCAGCTTCTACTATTACTGCTTTCATACAGTATATGGAATCTCTAAACAGAAATCTCATGAGTTTAAGGAATCCAAACGTTCCATTTGTGTATGCACCAAAGTCTGAAACATTAATCTGCAGCCTATGCCATCGTGACTGCTATTTGGCCTCCGTCCAGTGTGTCTGTCGAATCAGATGCCTTTTCCATGGTATGTTTCAACACGTTCATGTTCTTTTAGAATCTTAAACAGCAAATTTGGATCATAACGATCTGTCTCTCTTTTACTTTTCACTTGGTGTTACAGAGGCTGCGAAGCTTCATTGTTCAAAAGGGTGCAACATAACTGTATATCTAGATCACGAGATACTGAGTGTGGAAACTAAAGCTTATGACCTTCAGAGAGAAGAAATAATGTCAAAGCATACAGGTGTATGTTCTTGCATTGAAGATGGACTACATCTGGGTAGAGAGGTAAGGAAGATTTGAATTTAATTCTAAAGTTTGTCATAAGAACTCTTGGTGTTGTATATGTGAAATCTATGTAGCATAAGTTCCACAGTAACTAAACAAATAAAAGATTACATTATACAGATTGTATAAGCAATGTTTTTAATTAATTTTTGTTTCATTGAACTTGAATGATGACAGTTGAATACCAAATTGGGAGAATCTGGTGCCAGCTCAAGTACTAAGCCTGCCAAGTAGGAACTGAACCAGCTGCAGAGTGCGCAAGACCTAACTAGTTCTGCCAGAAATTTTGATTAACTAACTACAGCAATAGAAATAGATTCTTTGTACAAGCCTGATTTTAGTTGTTGGCGCTATCAGATTGTTTCCGTATAGCAATAAATGAATTGTGGTATATACATTGATCGGAAGATTTTGAACTTTGTGCGGCAGTTTTTTCAAAACAAAACTTCTGTCGCACATTGTGGGATAAAAACAGCCCAATGCTGCTGCAATTGTCCTTGGTCAAGGTGCAGTGGTGGTGTCACGGGCTGTTTTGAGCTGAAATTTGGAACTTAGAATTTTGATCTGATTTTTTGCATGATAGTAAAGAAAAATGCAAAGAACTTAACTAAAAAATAAAAACCTGATTTGCCATTCCAATAGTTTAACTTTTCAATTTTGGATACATTTATTATTGTACATTTCATCAGTCAAAATTATACCCTCAAAGGGTGAGATTGTCTACAATGGTTTTAACTATTTTTCTGAATAGAGCTGAAAAGATACCTGCTTTTGGTGGTCATGAACTGTATTTTCCTTATCAATTAATGCAATAAACTCAACTGCAACACTCAAAGCATTGACAGAAGCTAGTGAACTGAGGCTGGATGACAACAGCTTTTCTCCCCCGCCTGCCAAATCCGAAACTCCACGAAACACAATAGAGGGCACCCCATTTGACAGACATGTCTGCAAAACAACAATAACACCAAACATCAATCATTTGTAACAATAATTTCGGACTGAATTAGTAAGAACTATGTGATATGAATTTTTTATTTATTTACTCACCATGACAATGGCAGCACTCTCTTCATCAACAGTTGAGACATTCAACTCTTTGAAAAGAAATTCTCTATATGCTGCATTGTCGAGGAATATATCAGCGGTGGAGCCCCGAAGTCCAAAAACAATTTCTGCTCTGTTCGGTAGGCAATATGTGTCATTTATACATTGTTGTAACTCTAAATCCTACAACAGATCAAAAAGTTATATCAGATACAACAACAAAGAAACAACATCAAGAAATCGATTCTCTTTTCATTTCTATTGATGAAAATAGATCAACATTAAGCATACGAAATGAAATGAAAATAGATCAACATTAAGCATATGAAATGAAGAGATACGACAAACCTGAAGCTGTGTAGAAACATTAAACCACTTTGAATCTACTTGAAGCCAAAAGATCTCTTCCATTGGTTTACCAGGGGAGTATAACTGGCTTGGCGTATACTCAACCTTTGCCAACAAATTCTCTCCCCTTTCAGGAAAATTGAAAGCTCCAAATATTAGTTCTGGCAATTTCCCTTTCTTCGATTCAAATTCCTGTGCCAAATCAAATGCAGAAAAGCAACAATATGCCACAAACCAACCATAAATGTACTATAACTGGATAATTTTGTCCTCTATAAGGACAATTCAAAGGTAAGTTCAACTGCATACCTTCCATTTCCAAGAACTGGTGAAGGCAACATATTTCATTACACTAACATCACCAAGAGACAATGAATCATTAGAGCTTCCAGCTGTCCCATAATGAACCACCCCTTCAATATCAAATACATCAAGTAGAATTTGCACAGTTATACCTGCATTTAGCTGATAAAATCCGCGATTAAAGCTCAAGGAATGAGAAATAACTAATTAAAGGGTGCAGAAATTTAGAACAAATAAACACTTATTTACTTTACTCTGTTGGAAAAATTTGATAAATAATGGATTCTCGAATCTGATTCCATCAATTCCATGTTAAGCAAAGTCAAAACTGCTAAAACGCATTATCCTAACGGCGGTGGAATCTATCGTTCAAGGATAATGCATTGCAGCTTGCCTTGATTGTGCCTTGATTGTGCTTGCTTTGAGGGGATTATAATGGTGGTGTCAGGGGGGATCAACTGTGTCGGGAACATGCCAAAATGGCCTAAAATCGCCGGTCGTACAATGAGGTGAATTTGAAATATGAAATGTTATTTTGAAATTTTTTACCTTTGAAATAACCATTTTACCCTTTTAACCGTTACATTAAATAGTTTTCTGTTAATTTAAAGTTGAGAATCTGGAATTTATAAAACTAAGGGATAGGAACTTGCTATTCCACCAAACTTTGGGTGGGAATATGTCGATTTCTCTTATAGAAAATCCCCTATCACTTACAAAATTTTCAAAAAACCGTTGATATAGGGTTTTTCTTCAATACTCTCTAAACGACGCTGATGATTTTAATACTGAGTGATATGAAATAAATAAAAATAAATCCTTTCCAATAAGATAAGAATGGTTCAAGAGCTCACCGTTTGTTCCCCAGTCATTACATAGATCACATCTACATTCTTAATCTTCCCAATGTTGAATCTTCTGCCTAAGAACCAAGAAACCAAGAGAATGTTAAAGAAAGAAACAAGTTCAAAATCAAACATGAAGAAGTTAAATGAAAGTGTTACCTGCCAAGTCAACCCAGGGGATCTGTGAGTTGCAAACAAATAAACCAGAGGTTTGAAGGGCCATTTCTTCAGTTGGGTAAGCCATAACAATCCCAATATAAGGCCCGCCATTCTCATTCACTCTATCCACAGTCTCATGCATAGGGTGAGTCTTCCTCAGCTGCACACTACATTGAACCATAAGCAGCAGCCCAACCGCCACCAGCTCCAACTCCACCGCCCGCCGTCCGATCATCTGGTTTGTTCGTTGGTTAATGAATCAATGTTGGCCGGACGATAAGGGTCCTGTGGATGTGAACTGATTGTCCAGGAAAGTAGGAGATTATTGTATTGAGAGAAATGAAATGTAGTAAGAGACAGAAAGAGATTGCGGGCCCGGCAGTGTTTGCCCATGTGATAGTTTGTGTTAAATCATTAAGATTTCTATCTACCAAGAATTATTGGTGAAATGATAGGAAGATTTGATGGAAACGATTTGAGTTTGTTTTATCCACTTGATACAAGACATTAAATTATTGTGATTTACAAGTCATCAAATGCTGAAAGTTAGATAGAATGATACTGCGTTACTACTTCAGTAAATTATTATCCCTATTGGATTGTTTTCAAAGTCTTTATCATTACTTTTGGAGTTAACGACATTTTCCTTAAATGATACTTTTGCACTAACACTTATGTAATTTTAAAATATCATTTATTATCTAAATTTATATTTTACTAGCGAACATAAAACAAACTTGGTCTTGACTATTAGAATTATTGAAGAGTTGAGGTCGATGAGTCTTTTAGTGATAAAAAGTTAGATTTTAATAGTTTGAACCGATCAGAATTTAACTTGAGAGAGACAATTACAAAAACTTTAATCGCTTAATTGCCAGCGATTGATGAGGTTGACAAGAGTAAGATTCAAGGGGTTTAGGCAACTGATGATTGGAGAAAAGAATAGTGATCATATAGGGTCGCAACGAAATCGGAATCAGAAACAAAATACAAATTTAGATAATAAATTAATATTTTAAAAATCTATGAGTAAAAAAATGTTATAAATTAAGTCATTATTTGGGTGGCAAAAAGTCATTAACTCTTAACTTTTTGGTCAAAATTCAATGGTAGACTGTACCAGTAATAATACTAAATTTTGTTGGGTTTATTTCCTTTTTCCACTTGGGATCGACGTCCCCTCCATTTCAAAAAGCATTCATTAATACACTATCATAGGATTTTTGATAATTTTGTGAGTGATGAATTTTAGGAGGGTTTTTGATGGTTTCTAAATAAAAGAGATAAAATTTATTTTAACCGATGTTACATAAGAAAATGAAATAAATTCATAATATGTTATAACTTTTTAAAAAAAAAAAATTCACGAAGTAATATCTAAAATATTTATATTATGTGTCTATCAAATCAAATGCCTTTTCTGTGGTATGAATCAAGACATTCATGTTCTTTTAGATTTGTCGTTAGCTTATTGAATCTTAAACAGCGAATTTGGATCATAACGATCTCTCTCTCTCTTTCTGCTAGGATCTCACATCCGAATCTCACACTCATCAAATGTGGTACTTAATCCTAGAGGCTCTCCCATCTATCAGACCGACTTTTGGGTTAAGATTTCCCTTGAGCTTAAATTATAACATTGGTGCTCTCGTTGAGAGTTGGGTTGCAGAGAGGGCTACCTGTAGGCTAAATTAAGGTGCAGTGTGCTCTCCTTGGGAGGGCGTACAACATCAAATAATTAATAGATGAGTGAAGTTACCCAAAGGGGGAAATGGCTACCATCGGGTCAGTGTCAATAGAGTGAAAGTTGTCGTGGACATTGGCTCTTGAATGGGAGTGCAATGTTAGGATCCTACATCGAGATCTTACACCCACCAAGTGTGATACTTAAGCCTAAGGGCTCTCCCACCTATTAAGCCAGTCTTTTGGGTTGGGCTCTCCCTTGGGCTTGCGTTCTAACATTGTCAATGATTGGATAACATTTCTGCTTTATATGAGAAAACAAAACCTCCAAGAAGAATGAGAATTAAGAGTTTAAGGGAAAAGAACTTTATTGATTATTGCTTACCAAACCCTAATTGCTTTAGGCTTTATATAGCTTTACACATTCTTCTAATTCTAAAAGGACTCTAATTGCTTAATTCAAAAGATATTCTAATCACCTAATTCTAATCTAATTGACTAATTCAAAAGATATTCTAATTATTTTAATTAGATAATAGCGTAAATATCCTAATTCTAAAAGAATCTTAACATTTCCTTCCCCTTCGGTTCAACCTTGTCCTCAAGGTTGCAAGGTACTGTACCACAAGAAATCATTTGGTGCAAATGAGGTCTAAAGCAATAAAGAGACGATGAAAGTTCCACTGCTAGGGTCAAAAATTAGCACGATAAATAAGTTATTTGTTCCCTTATCGTGAGCCAACATGATGCCTGGCAGCGGCACCAGAGAGAGATTGAAATGCTTGGTGGGAGGTTTGGTGAGGGCCGTCGGCAATGGTGGAGCATTGTTGTTATTATGATTGAGAGGGACCAAGGGAAGGTCAATGGTAGATTGGTGGCCAACAACAACCGCGACATAATCGACAGAATGGTCAATGGGGCCCACTTGAGAAATGACTTTCGACTCCAAGGAAAAGGCTGTGAATTGTGGTTGACATAAGGCTTTATCCAACTTGGCTTCCAATACCGAGAGTTGTCGCACAATGTCGTTGAGAATATGCTCCATAGAATCATGCTTTGCGCCATGCAAAGATTGAATAGTTGTCAGCTTGGTTACCTGGTCTTCCAAATCTTCTAGAGTACGAAGTCGAGGTCCATTTGGCTGTGCACGTTTTGCCAACTACCCCTAATAATCCACAATTTTGGAGGGTCCAAAACAAACCACCAAGGCTTGTAGAAAAGAATCTCAAGAATGAATTTGTCCATTGGAGGACATCTAATGATTCCAGGAAAGAGCCGGGAAACAAAAAACAGATCGATCATTGTTCAAATGGCGCATCAAGGTTATTGAAAAATTGTTTCTCCTTACATGTCCATCCCGCCGGATCTGAACCATCAAATCGTGGCAAGGTGAATCGAAATGGGTTGAAAGACATTGCTGCCACTTTAAATTTAGTCACTTGATCATCTAAAGTATGTGTTTCATCCACCATGGAAAAGGAACAAGAGCACCGATGATAGGATAGTATTTTTGCTTTATATGAGGAAACATAACCTCCAAGAAGAGTGAGAATTAAGAGTTTAAGGGAAAAGAACTTTATTGATTATTGCTTACCAAACCCTAATTGTTTTAGGCTTTATATAGCCTTATACATTATTCTAATTCTGAAAGGACTCTAATTGCTTAATTCAAAAGATATTCTAATTACCTAATTCTAATATAATTGACTAATTCAAAAGATATTCTAATTATTTTAATTAGATAATAGCATAAATATCTTAATTCTATCTTAATTCTAAAAGAATCCTAACACACTCTCTCTCTCTTTTTACTTGGCAGCCGTATAGAGGCTGCGTTGCTTCGTTGTTCAGAACTTCAAATGGTTGAAATGTCCAAATTATATATCTAAAGTCAAGAGATACTGACAATGGAAACTAAAGCTCGTGAACTCCAAAGAGAATAAATAACGTTAGAGCATCCACGTATATTTTCTTGCATTGAAGATGGACTAGGTCTAGGAAGAGTGGTAAGGAAGATTGGAATTCAATTCTAAAGAACTCTTGGTGGTGTATATGTGAAGTCTTTGTTTTTAATCCATGATATTTGAATACCAAATTAGGACATGCTAGTGTGCGCTTATGTAGGAACTGAACTAGCTGTAGAGTGGTCAAGACCTAACTATTTCTGCCAGAAATTTTTATTAACTAGTGTGATTTGAGTTGTCGGCACCATCGGATTGTTTCCGTATAGCACCAAACGAGAACCAAGTTGTTCATTCTTGTTGATGGGTGATTTTGACACTAACGACTACGCACGTGAAAAGTGCTTAGAGACTTAGAAATTACACGTGAGGATGATTGTGGATGATTATGAGAGTGTTTATAATGTTATGATTAAGTTGCTTGTTAGTGCGTAAATAGCAAGTTGACAAGATCAGTTTTTAAGTGGTCTGGATGCTATGAGCAGGTTTTACGTCCACTGTGATTGTATTATGCTTTGCTGTGTGATTGCTAGTAAAGATTACAAAGAGAGAGATCTCTCCAAGTTACAAGTGATTGGAATATCCTAAGAGAATAACAAGTCAGTCTCTTTCTAATAGTGTGTCTTTGTTGTTTTGGCTGTAGAATGGCTGTTTGAATTCCAGAATCGATCCTGCCGTGAAGAGTGGAGTTGCCTATTTATAGCATTCCTAGCTCAAAGTAATACGTGCTTTTGCAAGTTATCTTGATTTGGTGAAGATCTTCCTTCCTTTTGATTCATTGAAAGTTTTCATCTATATCCTTAAATTAAATGAAATTTCGGTAGATGGCTGCACAAAATATCCTAGGAGTTGGTTTAAGAATTATCCAGCTATCTCTTGTTTGTCCTTGTACACATTTTGAACCTTGAACGGTGGAGTTGAATGCTAAATCTTGATTAGAGGTGATGATGTCAGCATACACTTTAGGCATAACAATTCTTAAGTTTAACTTCCCGATTTTTGGATACATTTACGGTTGTAAATTTCATCAGTCTACTGGAAAACTGATGAAACCATTCACAAATGTTTTTCACATATCAATTCAAATTATACCCTCAAAGGGTGAGACTGTCTACAATAGTTTTAACTATTTTTCTGAATAGAGTTAAACGATCCTAGTTTACAGTCAAAGTGTTGAAAATGATAATGAAATATAGAGAATCAAAGTTGGAAGAATAATACAATTTTAAATTTAAAATAAGCATAAATTGAATTGATATGTGTAAAAATTCTATTCAAATAATCAAACACTTATACAATTAAATCCATTTTTTCATAACACCTGTACAATAATTATAGTTAACTCTCATTTGAATCAAACATTTTCTTATAACAAATATAAAAATGGGTACAACAATGTGGTCGCAAGAACCCATCTTCTCCATAAAAAAAAAGGCCAATACATGTTAGTGGTCGCAATACCAACTCTAAAATAACTTTAAAAAGTATATCATCACAAATAAAATAAAAAAATGGGTACAATTTTAACTTAATTGATGGATTGGAGATTTTTGTAATTTACTTTTCATTTAGGGATAAATTTGTAAAACTCGTCAGAAAAATTTAAAATTTAAGTAGAGTCAACTGACCCTCCTTGACCCCCCATTGTCTGTCAAAAGGACAATAAGGGTCCTCTAGAGTAATTTTCTGAAATGTTTTTTCTTGGAATTTTTGTAAAAAGAGGTTTTCATATTTATTAAAAAGAAAATGTTCAATTAGGGTCTCCAAATGGGCCTAATTCAAAGAAACATTTCCATTTTAATAAGCCCTATCCCTATTAGACTTTCTTACATGTCACATTATAGCCCACCAAAAAGTGCTCCATCGAAGTGGCTTAAGTCCATCCGTCTCCGAAACGGGTTTAAGAGAAACTAACATTTGAATCGAGCTGAGTCGGCCTTGCTAAAGCGTCAAACGGCTTTAAAACTCCTTTTTGTTGAGTTGTTTCTTCGATTAGACCCATTTAGGCTCATTGGGGTTCTTTGACAAAAGTAGGCATCAATAATTTCATTCTTTTACTCATTAAAACGAAAATCTCTTCTTTTTCCTAGGATGATTTATGTTGTGAATTGGCAGAGCTCCTAGGATTTTTTTTTTTTTTAATGATTGTGCTGATGGTGAATTTGTGGGGAGTTGTGTGAGTTTACGGGAGTGCAGTCGGTTCTCAGATGACGAAAAATTAAAGTATATCCGGCGAGCAAACCAATCGTATAAGACAGTCAGTTGATTTTCTGAAAAATAGAAGCACCTGGGTTGTATTATAACAAACACAAAAGAATAAGATTGTAACGATAATGATGAAAATAGCAGTTCTCTATGAGAAATTTCGAATAAGCATGTCATATCTGAAAATTAGAATCCAATAAAAGGTTTGGTTTGTAACAAAAACATCTCAAGAATTCTATCCCACCCTAGGAATATTCATTACACTATTGTGATCGAAATCACAGCAGAATTCAGTTCCAACAGGTCAGGGAGAAGAATTTTCATCATCATCGTCGTAAATAGTAGAAGAAAGTTGATAACTCGCATGAATTTCTTACCAGACTGCATAGAATAAATTTACCATTAGATAAGTGGATGGACCAAATTTTCCCAGATTGTAGATTGTAACTGAGATTGCTTTTAACACTCCACTATTTGAAGTTACGCATAAGCATCCACTTGGAATTGAGATTCTACTACAAAAGCTTCAGTCCACCTGTTACTTCGTCTACCACTTCAACAGGTCCTGCGGACAAGAGTCGATATAAATCAACAAAACTAGGAAGTCGCAAGGGCAAAAAGATCAAACGTTATAGTGGTACCACCAAAGGTAGTCATTTATTCTGATTGGTGCAGGCAAAAGGAATTTTGTACAATTAAAATTTAACAATTGAAATGACTTATAAAATTCCAAACAGGACTCAATGGTTTCCATCGAACAAAATAAAGCTAACAGGATCCATAGAGAATGGACTTACCAAGAATAGCCATCACCGTCCTCGAATCTGAAAAAAAAAAAAAAAAAGAAAATTATTTCATTTTAAGATAACTTGAGTATGAAACTTTCAAAAAAGTTTATGGCACGAATGTGAAATCATTATTACATAATTTACATTAAAACTGAAATGTTCAAGCACATTCTGTAGACACCACTGTTGACTTATCTTTGATAATTCTTGAAACAATAATTTGAAGTAATGCAATCAGATTATAAATATCAGATAGGCAAAACGTCCATATAGGCAAAAACATACGTCACTTATGTAATGCTTCGCTCCCTACAACTGAGAAATTAGAAATGGCATGCATCTTTCTTGTTTCAAGTAGTCAAATTCTCATGGGGCTTCTTAGTGCGAATACTTCCCATCCTTTAAAAACTTAACTTTGACTAGTCCAGCATACATATACCATTGAATCACACAAATATTGAAAATTTCTAGTTTTGGTGGGAGTATTAAGAATAAGCTACATTAATACACGTTAGCTTGGCATTCTTGCACAACAGTGTGACATTTTTTATGGCACTTAGCCAAGCTCTAGCCCTTCTTTTCAGACAAACTTTTGAGACTATAATTGCAACCCAGTAAATATAAAATTTTAAATTACAGGGCACCCATGAAAATCAATTCAAACCAATACCATACCAATCTCAAGGAAAAACAAAAAAAAAAAAATGGAAAGAACCCCTGTAACTCACTTGGCGCAATCGTGTTCTCCCGCATAATCGTAATATGAGTTGGTAATTCAAGTGACTTTGCCCTCTCCTGTTAAAATTGAAAGGAATTGTTCCAATAATTAAAGAAGTTAAAAATATATTATACAAAAAATAATAATAATAATAAATAAAGAACTAAAAAGGCTGATATCAAAATTCCCAAGAGATGCAAGTAAAGCCAGTACTAATTAAACTCTGAGACACCAAAGATTTTTATGCTATACTAACTTGCAAAACTGCATATCCTCCTACTCTCAATTTTCAACACCACCTTTGGTTGAGCACACATCTCCCACTGCATATTGGTAAGGGCTTCATGGAAAAAGAAAAGAATGATATAACAAAATCAGCATGTTTACAGAGGTTGCACCAACAAATCCAGATCAGTGTGAGGCTATACCTGTTTAGAGCATTAGGTGCCCGATGTAGAGCTTTTTATAAAGACCCAAAGTTGCATGGCTATAGAAAAGGCAAATATTTGGATCATCAGTATATAAAAAATTGCAGGTTAAATGTAAAAACAATATAAACAATAATAAAGTTAACGATAGGTCACCAATGTCCATGTATCATCCAAAATATCATATATATCACATAGTACCCCACACGCTTCCCTCCTCATAACAAACAAACAAAAAGTAAGCCTAAAATAATCACCCCTAATATTGACAATGGGTGAAAGAAGAAAGCTATTACTATCAGACTAGTAGAATCCATTTGTCCAATATAGTCCACACTAACATGTAATCAGTTAGGAGTGAATTTAAAAGCTTAATATCTTTTACTACATAAGCATAGAATGGAAGAGCTAGGATCTTGACAGGCATCAGTTCCCTCCAAATTCTAAAGAGGGGACTCCTAGCCCGTAGGAAGGGTAATGTCTTTCCTTAACTGCTCTAACAACCAATTTCACAGACTCATTAGCAAGTTTTCTATTAACTACTGATAAAGATCACAATGAGAGAAAATGGAGAAATTACAGAAGAAATAGGAGAAAAACTGACAGAAATTGGGGAGAGAAAATTCAATGTATAGTTACAATTACTCATATGCAAACTCTGAAAAATAATGACGAACAAGGCCCACACTTTTAGTGGCCTAAGTTCTAATAAGAAATTGAAAACAACTTCAACTAGGAAATAAATCTAACCAAAAAAGAAAGTCGAGTCTTAACTCAAACAAGGAAGTTAAGATAAGGAAAAAGAATCCTGCATCCACATCTAATAAGGGTAGAACTCTTGATGATGTCCTACATCAACAACCCTGGCATTTCCAAGCTACAAAAAAGATTTATTTCATTGACTACAGAGCCAACCTTCCATGGCACTTCAGCTGCCCATTTCAAGATGATGAGTAGGGTTGACTAGCATTTGGTACGATTTCATGAACAGCCAATCAAATTTCTTCTCTAAGATCTGGAGCACCCATGTAATGCTGGCCAAGAGAAACAAAATCTGGTAACACCATTAAGTAGCATACCCCTGTAATTCTTACATACTGATGCAATCCCAGCTTCAATGCAGCTAGTTTTAAGTGTAAAGCATTGCAATTAATCTTGATGTTACAAGAATTCAAACTCCTTTCCAAGATTGGTGGGCACTCTATCTACTAGGAAGAGGAGCTGTTTTACAAGGTACAAGACAAGCACAATCACACTAAAGATAGGTTGCAGCCACTGTGGCTGGATTAGTGACTCCCATGTACAAAGTCCATATAGTATTCGTTTCTAGCCTTCCAAATAACCAGCATATTAAGGCTCTTTGCATTGAGGCTGCTCCCACAAACTGTATTACCTAGCACAAAATCCATTTCTACAAGGAAACTGATAGAACACCAACAGCACCACAAACCATCACTAAGGTTTATAAGATAAGGAAAAAGGGGTTAAGTAGTGATTAGGCCTTTTGGGAAGTTTGTTAGCCACGTGGCAATAGCAATGAGAATATTGTTGCTGGTGGGTATAAATCTGGGCATATGACCTGTAAAAGGCAGAGAATGTTTCAGTTGGAAATGGTTGGGAGGTCTCTAGCTCCTCGAATTGCTATGCTATCCTATATTTTCTTTTTCGTCATCCTTTATACTTGTTCTTGATCAGATTGTCATCTCTTTCTTTATTATCTTATCAATATACCATTCAGCCATATTATTCAATATCTCCTTGTTCATTGATCTGTTTGTTGTGTTGAGTGAGAATTAGCTCTGGGTTCCTAACAGAAACCAAAAAAATTGCCAGTTTCCTTTTGCAGTTCCCAATTGCAACAAACTAAGCAGCAATAAGTGAATCTAGACTGAGAAGCTAGTTCCTTAAAATCAATTTAATCTGTATAACAATTAGGGATCATTCCTAGAGAATTGTAAGAACATTTGAATGCCAATAAAGTCATAATTAAAGCTCCCATAAAGAAAGCTTTGATAATAAATGGAGTAGTAACGGCTAGTAAACAAGCTTCTAAGGAGACAAACAGGCATTAAATAAAGATTTAACTGGAAGAAAGAAAAAATTGTAGTCAGAGGACAGACATGAACCCACCAAACCCTTAACCTTCACCCACAAGAAGGAGAGGAATCTACCTAGATAAGAGTTATTCTAGAGGTGTAAACACCATAGAAATACAAAGCTAATGTACCCCTATAGTCCAACAACTTCTAATCTGATTCTGAAGCAATTAAATCAACCAAAAGCTTCCAATCAGCACACCTCCTAAGCCTCTATCTACCAATCAACACAAAAGTTCAAGTCATTCTTCACACGAATTATAGTCAGTGGAATACAGATACTTTATTCACTTGTTTCAGCATCTACCCTGCCAAAATATTCTGTATATTGTGCCTTGAACTTTACAAACTGTTAGTGATCAGAATTTCATTAGGTCTCTTCACTTTGGTATTCAGAAGGAGATGTGTCATCTCCTGGCCACATGAACAGCCATCATCAATATTCACTTCACTTCACTCACTCACTCTATGAACATAACACCTGACAATCCAGTTTCAGCCAGTAATAATTAAAAATCCAATTTAATTCAAACAGCCACACCAAAATATGAATCTGTAGCAGAAAATGTAAAATGAAAGTCATGAAGAAAACAAAAAATGGATTTTAAGACTACAATTATAGATACCTGCACTGGGCAGCAATTTTCCCTTTACCCATCTTAAGATCATTTCTCACAACCAAAACCTGCATAAAATAAAAACAAAAGCACAGTTCGTTAATTTTCAGTATACATGTTAACATTAAAACACAAATGCACACATATACGTTAATTCAGAAAGAGAGAGAGAGAGAGAGGGAGAGAGACATAATACCATTTTAAAATCATCGAGAATATCAGCCAACTTTTCAATTTCGAAGGGCTTCTTGGCCTTATTCTTCTTGTTTTCTATAGCAACTGCTGCAGCAACTGCAGCAGCTTTGGCTTTTCTGGCTGAAACAAAGATAAAAGCAGGACGTGTACCAATGCAGTATCCCAAAGCAAGGCAGCCTGCCCCGACTATAATGGTGCTCAGCCATGTCAGATACATCGTCCGCTATCACAAACGAGAACCCCTCCTATACTTAAGTTGCAGCCAAAATCAAGCAGAAGCAGAAAGCAAATCTATATCATGAGCCATAATAGCTACCAAGAACAGGACAACAGGCACTTATCATAATAAAAACGATGAAACCACATATCTATATATATATACCATCCTGTACTATATTGCAATTAACGATTCTTTCTTTCTGTTATTATTTATTTGGAACAAATATAACCATAATAATTAACAATATTTCAACAAATATTATAATACTTTCGTATTTCCCTAATTACACATGTCCCAGAATATATATGTTTTGTGTATTACTTTATTTGTTAAGTTTTTATATTAAATAAAGGAAAAGAAAAACCTTTATTATCTTTTATTAACCCATGGAAAATTACTCTCTCTCTCTTTCTCATCCTCAACTATTTTCAAACAATTATTACTAAAAATTTAGTATTTTTTTTTCTTTTACTTTCTTCTCTCTTTTTAAATTTTGCTTCCTCTCTTTCTAGAAACATTTATCCACCTAGAATCCTCATAACTTTCTTTTCTTTTTCTTAGCACCTATGTCTTTTGTAAAAATGCTCTCTCATTTTCTCAATCCAAAATCATTCTCTCTACTCTTGCTACCAATTATTTTCTTAATTGTGGCCTTCTAGTTTGATTTTTTGTTCTTCATTACTATCATGTGTACTTCAATTGAACAATTTTATCACTCTAATAAGCATATTTACACGCGGATGAACCAAACTCCATCCCTCATCTCATTACTTATCCTATTTCATTCCACTGCTTTTCGCCACAACAATCATGACCTTTTAGACTCACAATCATATCCACATTTTATAAACCCTAAGAAACCCTGAAATAAATTAATTGCACCAAAAAAAAAAAAAATCAATTATTTTTTGCTCAAGTTGTTCTTTCACAAAATTAACCATGAAAAATATTTTTAATTAAATTAAATTTCAAATCTTTAGGCTTCAATTCTTTATATACATTTGTAAGTTTTCGTATCACTATACATCTAAACTCTCTTTAAAAATTAAATAAAATAAGTGTTATTTCCAGCAAACTGTTTCATAGTTCATGAATCATTTTCGTTCGAAACAGACGGAAAAAGTGAGAAAGATAGAGAACAGAATATGGATTACAGGAAGCGCAAAGAGAAAAAGAAAAAGCTTTGAGTGGAACAAAAATATTAACAGAGAAAATTGAAGGTACCAATAACGAGAGAGTCAAGTACCTGCATCAAAAGGCCGTTGATCGAGAGTGAAACCTGGATCGGACGGTGCAAAACTCACGCAGACATGACTGTCAAGAGCTCGTTTGTTCAGTGTAAGGAAGTGGACTGGCTTGGAGACTTGGTTAGAACTTCAATTTTTAAATCGTGGCCAAACATGCCCCATGTGCCCACCCGAAGATTGCCCTAAAAACAATTTACTACGTCAAAAGTTTCAAAACGACAATTACCCACCTTTCATTAATATTTGTCCATTAAG